TAATTAATTAAATGTGTCAATAATTAATTAATTACATGTGTCATAACTATTTATTTAATTAATTAATTCAATTTTTTATTAATTATCGACACATTTAATTAATTATTTAATGGTGTATTTAATTAATTCATTATGGCAGTCCTGGCGTTCCATACCAAAGCGCTCACGGGCAGAGGATAGTCCACCCCCAGCTGCTATCAGGGCAGGAGATGTTCCCACCTATGCGTCCAAACTGCAAATGAATCACGTATGAGTGAAGCCTCTGCTCCCGCACTGACTGTAACGCAATCAGTTCAGTTCTTCTTTTACTGTTATGTTGTTTTGTGGATCACAAGGTTTAAAACTACTTACACACACACACACACACACAAAGTAACTCCACCAGAGTGCCTATTTCGAGTCACTTTTGCAGGTCCAAGCGCAGATAAAGGAGTAAGGTTGGAATTGTGGCATTAAAAAAAACAATAATCGCTAAAAGAAATTTAATATGAAGTTCTAAATAAATTCTAAATGCATTTAGGACGTTTTTTTACTCACTTTGTTTCTTCTTTTTTTCTCTCCTACAACATGGGTTACAATGACATTAGCATGACCAATCATGCAAATTAGGCGATGACGTCGTTTAGCGACTTCTAGAGACTTTTAGAATAGCCAAAAGTGATTTTTCTTGCTGAGGAGTTGGCAACACTGGCCAGGGGCTGCGACACATTTATACAGCCGTATTTCGCATATGACTATGAAAAGCGTTAGAGGAAGTAGTTTCTTCCAATTTAGACGATCCAAATGATATGGTTTCTTTCCATTGTGTTCCTGTTAATGAAAAACTACAAATTTACTCCAAAATACTAAAATATCGATATTTTAATATGAGAATCGATTCTAGAACATAAATTACTGGGATCGGAAGAATCGATATTTCAATATCGATCCACACACCACTATCGCATGCACTCGCGCGACCAGCACTCCTGCTTAAACGCACACAGTCACGGTGACACGTTTCTATCTCGGACCCTACGATCATTCGCACAGTTATAGAGGCGCTCTGTTTACTTACTGTTGTGCTGCTTCTCGTTCACGGGGAGGGTCTCAGGATCCCGTCAATCACCATCCAACCAAGGGGAGTTCAGACGCTATCTCACCGGCCTGGCCACAAATTCACATTCCAGGGCTTTCTTCAGGCATCCTAGTGTCCTGGCTGTCCACAGACTTCGGTATGTCCTACCCCCTCCTCAATGAAAGGCCATTTGTTGGAGTCCGGCTCCGAAGGACCAAATAAATGTTAGGTCTGTGCTTGCAGGCCTCGCTGACTCAGAGACTTAGTCCCGTGAACAAAGCCAGACGAACAGAGATCAATTGGTTTTAAGTTGCGCAAGGGGAGCCCAGTCAGAATCTCAGAGCTGTGAGCTCTGCACCCAAACCTCAGACGACTCCAACTCTGGCCCCCTCTTGCAGTTCTTTTATTAACTCAGTGTTTACACAAACATCTCATTAATCATGCGATAGATAAAATACATATAAACATGTGTCGTGTGTGTCTGCAACAGTGAACATGTGATGTGTGTGTGTGTGTGTGTGTGAATGTGTCTGTGAGCATGTGATGTGATCAGTGAAACGTGTGTGTCTGTGTAGAAAACAGAGGTGAACATTCATGCTAAAGATCTAATCATCTTGCACAATGACAACCATAATGATCCACAATTCTCTAACAGAACTGTTACCTGCAACTGCAACCACCTGACCTCATTCTCCATCCTCATGTCACCAAACATTCCAAAGAAACTCTGTTTAGACATTATAACCTACATTGGAGTTGGCCTGTCCATGATTTCCTTGGTCATATGTCTCATCATTGAAGGACTCATATGGAGAAAAATAACAACGACTGAAACCTCTTACGTGCGTCATGTTGCCATAGTCAACATTACTGTCCCTCCTGATTGCAAACATTTGGTTTATAATTGGAGCGGCCATTTCAGATGCAAAAGTTTAAAAAAAAAAAACCAGCGTGCACTGCAGCTACCTTTTTTTAATCCATTTTTCTACCTAGCTCTGTTTTTCTGGATGTTTGCCTCAGCTTTGTTGCTGCTCTACCGTACAACTAATGTCTTTGGGGGGTTGTCTAAAGCATCTATGCTGGCCATTGGATTCTCTCTAGGCTACGGAGCTCCTCTCATCATAGCAACAGTAACTGTAGCTGCAACTGCACCTGACAACAAATATATCAGAGAAAATGTAATCTGTTGGCTCAAATGGGATGTGTCCAAAGCTCTACTGGTGTGTGATTCTTACACTGTTAATAGTGCTGATAAACCCAATTATCCTGCATGTGGTTTTCAGTTAGAGATATTTGTAATGAAAACCATTTTCACTAGCAGTCAAAAACTAATGTGTACCCTTATGGCAGCATTTTTGTTAAATATGAACAGAATGATAGAAGAAGTGCTGCCACATGCCTGGCCAGAGAGTACCAATTTGTTTATTTAGTAGTTCAATGAAAGGCTTCAGTTAAGTAAGAGTGAGGGGAAAAAATTGTGCTTACTTTCACAGTTTTGTCTTTTTAAAATAAAGAAAAACACTACATTTTTCAAAATATTTGTGGATGTTTAAGTGGCCATCCAATGAGATGACAGCGCCAGCTGCGTTAGCCTCATCTTAGATAACATCAATCAGATCATTAAAATAAACTAAGTTTTAAAAATAACATCTGAATATTATTGATCGCTTAAAAACCCACCTGAATAGTTTTGTTATTGATTTGGCCTCTGTAGTTTGGTTTTTCATATTTTCTGGTTCTTTACTCTTTCACATTCACACATTTAGCTATTTTTTTCTTTAACTGAAACTTTGTTTCTTAAGTATTTATTGTCTCTGAGCTGTTTTTCAGTTTTCAATCATTCTATCAGCTGATTCATAAGAGGATTAGTTGGCAGAACTGATTGACTAATCAGTTGACTGATCATGAAGTAACTCCAAATGTTGCCATGTTCAGATTGTTTTATTAGATTGTTTAAAAAGGAAACAATACTGAGAAACAAAGAGGTTGTTCAACATGTCAGACAGATTTTAAAGAAAAGTTAAAACAGGAAACACACAACAGGTTCCATTTAATCAGGGATGAAAGATCAGCAGATGGAGGCGAGGTCAGGGGGGATCAGGTGCAGTAGAACTCTCCGGCATCAACTCTGCGTCTTTTACGACTCTGCTGCTCGAAGAACTGACGAATGTCATCAGATGTCACAACCTATCATAGAATAGTTAAATTATATCAGTTAACCTATCAGAACAGTCACAAGACACTTGACCTATCAGGTGGAAGACTCACTTTTCCTTCAGCTGCAAATCTCTGCAGGAAGTCCTTCAGCTCAGTTTTCATGTCATTGTATCCTGCAAGAAAAATAATCAGGACTATTTAATCTGTTCATAGACTTTCTGCAGGTTCAAACATTCTTCTTACAGAGTCCACTTACAGAATTGTTAAGTTAGTGTGAGCACCTGCATAAAAGCAAAGATTTCACGTGTGCGTTAAAAGAGTACTGAGGGGGGAAAAACTGCGATGCGCGATACCACCACTGTTGAACAGGTGATGGAGAAACAGGTTTACCTTTTAGGTGACATGAATGAGTTGAACGGAAGTTATGAATGGTTTCTGAGAGACAAATAACACCAGGATCCTTTTCTAAGTAGCTGACAGCTGGTAAGTGTGCAGGGGTAGGGCATTAACAGGGAAAGGGGGGCACAAAGAAATACGTTTCTTTCTTATTCTCATTTAACCCATTAAGACCTACCATAGTATGGAGCGCCAGGACTGCCATAATGAATTAATTAAATACACCATTAAATAATTAATTAAATGTGTCAATAATTAATTAAAATTGGAATTAATTAATTAAATAAATAGTTATGACACATGTAATTAATTAATTAGATAAATAGTTATGACACATGTAATTAATTAATTATTGACACATTTAATTAATTACTGACACATTTAATTAATTATTTAATGATATATTTATTTATTTCATTTTGGCGCCTGGCTCTCATCTTGAAATAATTTTATCTGTCAGCCTCACCCATCAAACTCAGGGGGCGGGGTTAACGCTGATCGAGTCAAAACCATTGCTTTGGCCTGGTGGCCATTGTTTCTAGCACACAACAACCGGCATGTGGAAGCTAACAGAACTGAACTTTGAAAAACCCTGTTTGTGTGTCACCAAATACCGTTTTAATATTTGTTTTTAGCCGAGAATGTAGTGGTTTAATCTTCATGTGTCTGGTCGGTTTGTCAAGATACAGCCTCTTTGCAAAAGTGCTTCAATGATTTCGGAGATGTCTGCCCAGTCTCACGGCAAAGCGTGGAATAGACCCGCTCGCCTCGCAAGCAATCCCACCGACAAAGCGCAGGCCCCGGTACCAAAGCGCAGGCCCCGGTACACAGCTGTAGTAACCCCCGCTGACTTCTTTTACTGAGGTTATATTTATCGGTGTTTTATTTCCTGATGTTCTTATGTGTCCTACGTGTTTCAGTCGCCAATTCTGAAT